CCTCTGATGCTCCAACAACGCTGGTCATTGGCTAATGCAGAGAACTGATTCCTGTCATACAGAAAACGTTCGGTGGACAGGAAGGCGCTATTGCAGCGGTGCTAAGAGTTATGAAGAAGAAGAACCGAAAGTCAAAATAACAGGAAGTAATCAGCCGATGGGTTTCCTTAATGGAATTTGCAGAAAGGGCAGAAAAGAATTCTTTGTTCAAGGAAATCCTCGCCATCACCGGGATTGTAGTGCCACCCTAGGTTCAAGAGATGACGCGTAGGCGCACCCCCAGAACGTTAATAGGCTATTTCCTTCACCTCTTATGGTGGCTAATGCCGGAACCATGCAACTACGCTACCCTTAGTGCCTTACTCGCAGGTCGTGGGGGAAACTGGAGCCTTGAAACATCTATATGGTCACAACCTATGTGGGACCATGGACGGAATGGATAATTTGAGAAGATGTAGTGGCCATAGTGGCTGGTCGAGATCCATTTCAAGTAGAAAAATATCTGAGTTGTGTCTCCCGATGTCAACGAATTATGAGCAGAATTTAGGCTTCGGACGGGGCTCGAACCCGCGGATGGGCTCGGACCCGCACTGGTGCTATCCGACCATCTTGCTCTTACACCTTACACTACCGAGACCCCGCTTGCCCTCGCCTTCTTGTTCTTATTCTTATTCGAGTTGTGAAGTGCAGGCTACAGCACTTTCACCAGATCAAATTAAGGGTGTGAGAACGATAACAAGTTTTTTTACTTTTCGGGGTACTTTCATAGCCTCTCGAGTAGCCCTCAACTGGAAATATCATGCTCAATGGCTCATCAAAATTTGTAGCAATGAAAGATAAAAGTAACCTTCTTAACACTTATTAGTTCAATAATAATTCACCCAAGGAATTTTCTTTAAAGAAAAAGGAATAAAGAAAGAAACATGACTCGTTCTACTCCTTCTTCAGCAAAATATTGTTTTTTTCTCTGAAAACCAGTTCGTAAAATCAAATTCAAAAAACTTTGCTGCATGCGATGGAACGAGTTCGTCAAGCCGAGGTTAATTACTTTATACTTAACGCAGAAGCCTACAAAAAAAGCGATATCATGCTTGATCACCCATGTGGGAGTGTAGGTGGATCCCTGCCTGATAGCGAGACCATCACCTGCATTCCCACATGGGTAATTAATCGTGATATGTCACTTTTTCGCCAATTCATTCGTCTTCCAGCTTAACTATAACTTTTGTGTCCGTCAGTTGTGTGCGATTTCTCACTTTTTTATCTCTATCTCATTATGATGGCATCAGAGATACTGTAGAAAGACCTTTGATGCCTTGATCATGAGATAGGAATAGAAATGTGAGATATCGTCCAATTTGGCTAGACATTATTGTTGGTCAGAGAACGTTTTTTGAACTTCCCATCACGAAAGCTGAACGATCGTTCGTTGCCAAGAGCATTGTCTTATTGGTTTGTCCAGTCCTTGCCCTTCCTTTCCTACTGGAAGAGGAACGTCTGATGAGGTTTCCTCTGCAGAATGACTACAAAGGACCCAAAATTCTCCTTAGTTGAACATTGAATTCCGGGAAAAAACACTTTTTAAACATTGAATGAATCAATGATCCACTCAATGCTTGCATAGTGTTTTTTCCCGAAATTGAATGTTCAATTAAGCGATTTTAAAGACGAATGTTGCGAAGTTTTTAGTCGTGGTCTTCCGATCGGCACCTTAATGGAATTCTACCCGAGTTAACGGGATTTTTATAGCTTCCCGGGGATTCCTACCAAACTGAGCAGACCCTCCGGATTCCTATCAGACTAGGTACATCCTCCTACTGGAAGTTCCTGCCAAGGGAGTTGCGGGTGACGGTCGAAATCGGCTTAAAATTAAGCTTTGGTCAAATCAGACCTAGTTGCATCCAAAAGCATTCCGTAAGCAACGAACACGACAAGCGTAGTTAATAGTTGTGATTAGGCTTTCAATCGAACAGTTGTCAAACGCATAGGTACTTTTGCCGAAGACAAAGCTTTGCAAAACTTTCGCCCTTTCATGAAGTATCTTATAGATAGAGGAGGCAGAGGATGGTAGATAGGGATTGCAAAAAATTCCAGCCTGAATGCTTTGAGAATGGAAACTTGCACGGAGGATTTGAACAACCATTCTCGTCTTCTCTATTTGTGACCAGTATTCCAGACCCTCTCACTACACCTGGAGCCTTATACAAGGTTCTACTGGGACTTGAGACTTTTTCCGATTGGTGTTCGTTACAGTTTCAGGACAGTGAAAGGAAGTTGAAAACCTCGTGAGCGTGATTTTTATATGTAAGTTTCTAAGGTCCCACTTGCTTCGACGGGACGATATGGTCCTTTTTACCATCTGGTACTACGAGGACGAGGACGATCGTTTAGGAGAACTTGCTTGGGAAATTCAGGTAGCTCGGGAACATGTACTCGTTTCAGATGTCCTTTTTACAATACCACATTTGACCGCCTGGATGTTTTAAGGAGGTAATTTTGCTAGGGAAATTCAGGTAGCTGATTCAGGAGTATTAGATCCTGTTGGTCGTTCCACGATCGTGCATGGAACTGATTTGTGTGGTTAGCTCCTGGAAACCGCTTAATGCCTGCCTTTTTTCATAAAATGGCGACAACATAATTGTTTCTAGGATACATAGATTTTTGCGCGTCCAAGAAAACCACTACAATTTGTCCTCTGAAGACAAATCCTACGTTCTTCATGACATCATTTAATAATCCCTCCCGAAAAGTTTTTTATGACACCAAAAAATGCTGTAAGTAGCTCGAATTTTGCGCTCAGGATAAGGTCGGCACAATTATCCCTGACAAATGGATTTCTACAACCCAGGAAACCACGGGTATACGCATGAATGGAAGGCCCAAAAGTTTTATTACCCCCACCAGAATAGATTTTCATACCTCTTCAAAATGGTGAAGAACATCGTGGGAAGATGAACGGACAATAGTGCGACTATATTAGAAGAAAAGTCCAAAGTCCAAAATCTACGGGAGTAAATCAATCCCGTCTGAGGGATGCGCTCCAGCAATCGGCTTCCATTCAGAATCCTAGTGGTGTTGGATGCGCATGTGGCCTATACAATGACTTTCGATGGTCAGTCAGTGTACAAGTCAATGCTTTTATCCTCCCAAACGAGTCCGATACCGATTGACCGACCCCGGAGAGATCGGCTGGTCTAGGCGGATATTGATCTTGGATTCGAGCCCGTGATCATGCGTATGTAATAACGTGCCATTTACCACTACACCACCTCCGCTCAAGACCAAAGTACGGGTCGATTAAAATACTCTCATTCTCGACGACGAATTCCAGTGCAACTGCGATAGAATTTAAACAAGAGGGCTGTCAGCAGCCACCCGGAGCTAAGTATAACCGCAGCCTCACAGATTTGATTGAAAGACCAGATACTTTGCAGATGGTTCTGCGTTTTTTGAAAAAGTTCGGTCAGTGGTTGTTCTTGCCTGCGCTGCTGAATCTCTCCTTTTTTGAACCATTGATTGGTGCCAGAATTATGGGGTTGAGTCATTATTAATCTCCGGCTTTTCTTCAGGCCAGCTCTATACCCAGTAATACAGTAATGGGCTGACTAAATTGACATCCAGTTGCTTCTACAATTCTGGATGATTGCCAAATGTTCGGAGTATTCTGAACGGACTGAGCGGCCAAATCGCTCTATCCTTGTTCTATGCTGATTCAAATCCGATAGTAATGCACTATCACATTCTCGTTTTTTTGAGTGCCTCAACGATTTTTCCTCGAATAACATGGCCAAAAACAGGCAGAAAAACTAGTCTGTTTATTTGACATTGAAGATGGTGTAACTTGTGTAGAAGCTTCTAATCGGCGATTGCTTGGAAAGATCTTAACCATCGAGTAGTGCTGAATGTATTTCATCTGATGTCATCTCGAAATCACGGAGAGCAGTTCATTCATAAAAGATAAATCTTATTTGAGACGCATTCTCGCATCATAGTACTTAACGAGGACGCAGTTCGAAAGAACAATCTGAGTGCTTTTTGTTAAAACATTCAACTCATTCTAGCTCAGCTACAAAGGGGGAATCTGTCGAATTCCTCCTCATCCCCATCACCTAAAGTTCCACAACTTTCTAAGGGGAATTATATTTGAGACGATAATTGATGATCGATGTCACTTATGTTTTGTAAAAGTTTCCAGACAGTTTTCTGCTATGGAAACAAGGAAATCTGATCATTCATTAAGAAAGAAAAAACAGTAGTGACGAAAAGGATGAAGCCTCATTTCATAGCCCAATGCTTCTAATTACGCTTGTTCAGAAGAGGTGTTAGAGAGTATATTCGGTTTTTGGAATCTATTGTCTAGAACTGCGATCATGCTAAGCTACCGGCTTCTACTGTATTACGAGTCGCTATCCCTCAGACTCCGAAGCTATCCTCGTTTCCCTTGTTGTCAGTCGTCTAGTGTAAGCGGCGCAGTTTAAGCATTTGATGCTTTTCCCTTCTCGAAAAGGAGTCCCATCGCGCCATCAACTTTGATAAAATGGAAGGCATATGCCGTTCGGGTTTTATTTGAAAGGTCAGCGTAAAGTCTGATTTGGTGCCCTTTGCCATTTTTACACGAAGGGTGAATAAATACCATATACTTTTTTCATTTCAATTTAAGTGTCTTCGAAATACTTGAAGGAATAGAAATGAAGTTTTGTGTAGCTTCTCATGTCACTTATGATGTTAGTGATCACGTCATGAAAGCCTTATAGGTATCGAGAATAAAATTATAAAAGTGTGGAAAACATGAGGGGACGCGGGCGGTTGCGTAGCGTGCGCCTTTATTTGGTCACTGACCAGATTGAAAGTGACAAGTTGCTGGAAAGAATATATCGGTTAACAGGCCTATCGAATTCCTGAAGTTTAAGAGTGTACTCACCTTAATAGTAAAATATCAATCTTTGGCCTTGCTGGTTGCCCAATCGATAGCTATTTTTCTCACGTAACTCTATTTCAGTGGCTACCTGAATGCCCTTCATCCGATTTATTCACAACTGTACAAGAAGGCTCTTCCAAGGAACAATAAAACGGAGCCGTTGACGGTCCACGTTGGTTTCTATGTGGAGAGCCTTGGAAACTTCCGATCTACGGAAATGGTATTATTTTCTTTTCAGTGGGAAGCCCACTGAATACATGCTTTGCGATGATCAACCGAGTAATCGATAATTGATTGATTTCTAGACATTCGATATGGATCTCTATATGTACATGAGTTGGCAGGATATACGAATGAAGCACAATCACTCAGACTATGTCTTGATCAATGGTATTTAACGTTCTCTTCCTTGTGCCGTCGATTTTACCCCCACCTAGTTGTCAAATCGCCTATCGATTTATTATTATTTTTATTATTTATTATATTATTTATTTCTATGGGATTTTAGACAAGTCGATATTGGAGAAGATATGGCTGCCCGATTTATACTTCGCGAACGCTCGGACCGCTTATTTTCATGAAGTCACCGTACATAATTTCAATATGTTCGTCTCACCTGATGGCGTCATAGCGTATGGGACCAGAGTGACGCTTAACCTGGGTAAGTCAATACCTGAGGGTAGAGTACTGCCTAGAATGCGCAAGGGTGAGGATTAAGACGAGTAGCAATCATCAAGAAGGAATTCATAAAAAAGGTGAAGATGCCAGAAGACCGGGTTATATTGAAATTTGGTTACCTCGGAGGTCTAGCTCATATCTGACGCTTTGGTTGGGGGTGACCTAGAGGCAAGTGGCGCATTATTACATTCGCATGGGTGGGGACCGGATCTTGGGAGTTGGCCACCGCTAGTCTTTGTATAGACCACATACACCTCCAGTACATCAATACGATTCTGAATGGAAGTGGAATGCAGGGCGCATACCCAAGATGGAATTGATCGAAGCCAAAAACTTTGCCTTCATATTTTCATCCAGCAATCTGTCAGTAGGAATGCTTAAAAACTTACCAAGAAAACTTCATCAACTCATGTCTGATTACAGCTTGTCATCTGAATCTACAAGACTATCCACTGGACCGTCAAAAGTGTCTCATCAAAATTATCAGCTGTGAGTTTTTTTCTTTCTGTTAATCCGCTTCTCTGGCTTTCTACTCATTCGTCTTCGTGTTTTTTCTTCAGTCTGAATATTTGTTTCCAAAAAGTGCATAGTAAGTTTATGCATTCTCTAATCCCAGCTGGCTTTGTCGCCTCCTTCCCTAGAGAAAGCTCATACTAAAAATTCACTCAAGCGATGTTCTTCTCCGACTACTATTCTCAAAGGGCATCAAAGCAAGCCCTGATGAATAGGGATGATATCAATTCCGAACGAATACTGTGAAGAATCTATTTTGTGCCCAAACTTACTTGAAATTTATGAATGGGAAAGTAAATGAAGAAATGAGTGCTTATGGGATGATGAGTTATGGTAGTGGAGGATTGGTTGTCATCAGAAGACCTCAAAGAGCATCACCGCTTGAATGACATGCAGGTCGTTCTACACCAGCAGATCAATGGATGAACACTATGTATATATAAGCCATGGATCTGATTGTGAGACGGTAATCGATATACCGTTCTGCAGAACAACAATTCACTCTTGACCTTTGGTACCGAGATATCTGTAGGTAAGAAGGACGTTATCACGTTTTTGGATTGGACGTTTATGTAGCAACCCAATTACCTAATTGAAGCAACGAACCCTTTCACTTGACGGTTTTTTTGGTTGAAAGAAACGAATTCAATTGATTTTTTTCATATGAAATTGAGCAGCTTGAACAGTTTTCATGACGATCGGCTGCTTAAAAATGAGTAATCTTTCGGAATAAGTAAACCCATTCCCTTGGTTACCAATTTGGATCAATACAATGCCTAAGAGACCAAATCTTATGTGTTATACTGCTTCACAGATTCATTGGTCGTTGAACGACGTAGCGGGGAATGATTGAAGGCTGATGTTCGCATCCTCAAGGGAACCACTACGAAGATCTAATAGAGCAAGCATCCTTTGCGTGGAGTCGATTTCCACTCTATGGACTACATGATGCCAAGATTAGAGCGACTAGGGGTAGCGATTTTTTCCAGTGACTTGCACATACATACCAGTAAAAGTGAGCGAATCGCAAATTGCCTAGTGGGAATTTCCCGGAACCCATCTGTTTTCATTTTTCTCCTAATAATTAGACAAATTCGTTTGAACATATGCCCTTTCAAGTAGGGGATAAATCTGCCGATCTGAAAGTGCTTGTGAGCATTTTCATATTGAGAGCAGTTGTGAACTTTGGAATGATGTTCAGTAGGCTGGGTTTAGACTACTCTTCCCTAGCGTGATCCTTGTACTGTAGCGAGGAAGACTCTCTCACCGGTTTTCTGCATCCAAATACTGAGAATACGAAGCACTTCTGTATTTGGTGCTTTAGTTTATGAAGTTTCCTTTCTTTCCACCCGTTTTTTAATACCTTCTATCGCTCCCATGGCCTGAGGCTGTTCGGGTTGAGCGTTGTTTATTGGAGTAGATATTGAAGGCAGATATTGCCACTCAGTCGCATTTAACGAAGTTTTTGCGGCGGTCGAGGCCGGGACTGAAGTGGTCTGGTCTGACAATGAGAACAGCTTTGATAGTGGTGGACTTCTTGTAGTGTGATTAGACGAATATGACTGGGTCCTGATCCTACAATACTTCCTTTTGTCATCACTAACTATCCAAAATTGTCCCTAAGAGAGCAGTCCTTTACATCAGCAGCAATCTTTCGGACACTACAGTGAGAGACAGGGAGGCCTTTCACATCGTCACTGGGAACTGTCATTCTACCGTAACGCAACGTTGACAAGGGTGGAGTGACTGGCAACCGACTTGGTAGCTTCTCCTCTATAATACTTGTGTCCAGGATTGTTATTCCAAAACAGTCGAGGGGTTAAAGGGTAATAATTTTGTTCCACTGTAATCAATACTGACTATATGATTGACATGGTCCTTTCGATCTTCGATTCCAAGTCCTGCTAAAATTACCTTCCTCTTCACGAAATAGGTAATTTCTCAAGAAGCAAAAACAGGTGTATCCAAGATGTCTTGGTATAAGCTGACACATCTGGCAGTCCGGGTCAAATGTCTTTTTCAAACGGTCCTTTTTTCTGAAAAATATTTTCTGATAGGCGATCACTTCTCTTTCAATTGCCCGAACATTGGATATTCCCACATACAGATAGTGTTCTCAGCAAGAGCTGTACATTCAAATCAGTCAACAATCTGAGACCTGATTTTCTCCATTACTTGCGCTCTGCACTTCCAAAAGCTCCTCAATTCCAATAGCGAAAAAAGCTCTTGTAAGCACTTTACAAAGTTGACATCGATTCTAACATCCGAAAATAGATTTACTGATTGGGTTGCTCACAAATATTATATTGTTGATGGTTGTTGTTATCAAGTGGGGAGATGAGGCATGAATTGAATTTGGGAGTCCACCAACTGTGAATGGATCTAATTTGACAAAGCAGCTTAGCCGTGATCATCATGGGAATCAGACCAGTGTACTGCAAATAGCTCCATACAAGTGATGGAAAGGGTAAAAAGGGTAACTCACTGGAGAGCAAAACAATTTCAACGTAAAAATGTGAAAGACTAGATCAGAATCAAGCATTCCCTTGGTAGTAGAGGCCGTTTTTGAGGTAGACGAGAGACCATGCCTTCTTTGTGACTTTGAGCAATGGTATGACCCCCTTCCATCAGATGGACAACACTTTCCCGAATTTGTAATTAATCAACCCACCATTGGTAATGTCCGGGTAATATCAGTGCAACCCTATAAATAACATTCCTGCTGCTCCCCAGAAGGCTTGGTTTAGCTTATGGTCGTTTAGGAAGAAACATGGAAGTGATGGTAGATTAAAGGCACTGATGTTATTTTCATACCTTTACCGTACTATCTTCCGTCGCTAATTACAGTAATCCATTTTCAGATGCACATGTGAAAAGCGAAATGAATGCCACATGGTTCGCTGACGGTCCGATACGATATAACCCAGAAATTGGTCTACCTGAATATCATATCGTATCATTAGAACACGATTATTGTAATGGCGTTTTCCATTACACGATCACGCCCAACTCGTCCAGAGTCGGTGAGTTTCAACCCGTCTTCTTGGTGTACACAGTGAACTTTTTGACAGAAATGAGCTATATTATATGAGGCGTAAATATTTCTCCACGAACTCTGTCCTGGAAAAGATTCTCGTTTGGGAATTCATCTGTGGGATTAGAATTTTCGAAAAAAAAACGCATTTTAGTGCATTTAAGTGGTTTGGGCGCGTGCGCATGCGTTGCGGCTGTAGTAATAATGCATCAGATTTGGGTCACAGTACTCATCACTACCATGAAAAACCACTGTATTGTTGGCCGATGAAGGCAGTACAATACAAGTGACTCTGAAATTAGGCGGATGTGTCGAAAAGTTGAAGGAAGGGTTCGGCGATTGCCAGGTTCAGTTGCTTTCGGTAGGATTGTTGAATTACCGGTTCTAGAAGATCACTACGAAGCCTATGGGATACCAGAGGAGTGGGTAGAAAATGCTGTGAGTTGTGTCTTTGATAGATCATCAATTTTTCCTCACAAATGACTATGGAGGCCAAATGCTCCCCAAGAGATTCAGTTTATCACATAGAATCTTTTTCTCAAGCACAAAAGCCACCTCTATTATCAAAAAGCCGCTCCTCCGCTGATGAGTTCGTCTTCAGATGTTTGTTTTTCAAGTTAACCTCCCAAGTTCTTCAGCATCCCTTTTCAGGTGATTTCAGCTGCTTATTAGGAATGGTGAACTTGAGACGTGCTATTGGTTTTCATTTAGTTCAGGTTGGTGCTTAATCCTGTTTGAGTTACGGTAACGTCACGTTTACCGTAAGCTGTTTTTGAAACGATTATTTTGCAGAGTTACATTCCTACGGTATTGATCGTAGCTATTTCATGGGTTTCGTTTTGGATTGATAGACGAGCGGTTCCGGCACGAGTATCGTTGTCGTTCACAACGTTACTGACTCTTAGCACACAGGTTTGTTATTTTTTCTTTCAAGAGAGCTCAAGAAGGCCATATTCGATATTGGCTGGGATGATTTGTAAGTCAAAATATTTATTAGTAATTGGTGCTCACGTTAATTTTCGGGAAATCCTGCAGTTATTGCTGAGAAGTTCTTTTCTCTGTCAGAGTTTCACCCAGGGAACCTTCGATCACATGCAAAAAACCAGAGTAGGAACCTCTAATTCTCACGTTTTGTACTGGGTAATTGGGAACGATATACTTGAGTGGGAACTGAGCTCTGCTAGAAGAGGAAACCTAGAAAAGCCAAACAAAATAACTTGGAGGAGAGGTGATGGTTCCGGTCCGGCTCCCCATTGCAGGGTGGACGAGCTGTCAGGGATTGCTAGGATTGTGCACTAGCAGCGGCAAAGGTAAAGTGACTATTGATAGTAATTATATTAATAGCACGGTTATCCAGAGTGACGCATAGTGGGCGGGATTATCCTGGTAGGCGGAGCATCCTCAGGGAGCACCTCTCTCTTTCTAATTGAATTTCCTGTAATTTGTTTGATGAAAATCGAAATTCAAATCTAAAATTCAATGTTTTTTTTGAATCTCAAATCCAATGTTCAGGGCAATGGCATCAGATATGCTCTACCACCTGTTTCATATGCCAAGGCTATTGATTATTTCTACGGAGGTGAGCTTTAAATCATTGGTCCAGTCTTATAAATGGCACACTTGTAATATTAATCATCAGAATGTCTTAAAAAATTATTCCGCTCACCAACTATCATATGGATCTTATAATAGGTGATAATCAGTGGTAATTAATAACGATAATACCTTATGAATTTTTAGATAATAATCTACAACCTGCTTCAAGGCACAGTCCACGATAATTTGGAGGTACCCGGTTTTATTCGAAATGCGGAAGTACAGATTGGGAATAGTTCATCGGTAGCGAACAAAGCGAGAGAATTCGGCGATTTCGAGAAAATTATGGCTCCTCAAAAGTAGGGAAAATAGAGGTTGTACGAGATTACCATGAAGGAAATAACAAGGGAGGGGTATTCGGACGAGATTTCAATTATTGCAATTGGGGTA